GCCTATGAAGAATAGGAAAAAAGTAATTTGCATGTTGGCTTTGCATTTGTAAGAGGAAAGAAAACCCAGAACTTGAAGGATGGATAAAAGAAGGTGTGGGTACAGGAAAACATTACAGGTAAAAACAAAAACAAAAACCCAACATGTTCAGCGTCCCAGATGTACAAAGAAGCCCAGATCAGTGATGGAGATGTGGGCCACAGGGTATACCAGATGTCAGTTAACTAGAATCCAATGCTTTCCTCAAGCATCACAAAAAACACAGACTCCCACCCCACCCTCCGGCACAGGCAGACTAGAATCTAAGTTCCATGAGTACAAAACTTTTTTTGTCTCTCTTGTTCACTGATAGATTCCAAGTATCAAGAATAGTGCCTAGCACGTAGTTGGCACTGAATATTTGTTGGATGAATGAATGAAGTGTGATTCAGTGCTTGGGTATACCACCTAGAGGAGAAATAGAGTGTTCAATAAACAATGGTTATTGTTGATATAACTAGTATTCAGGTCCGGGAGTTAAATATGAAAACTCAGTAAATACTGGTAGTTAACTGTGCTGGGTATCTCAGTTTGAAGGGTTTCAAAAATTGTTTTGAATTAAAGTTCGATGAAATGCACTAAAATAAACAGATCTTGGGTGACAGTTTGACACATTTTGACAAATGTTCAAGATATGAAACATTGCCATAACTCTAGAAAGCTCCCTGTGCACTTTCCTATTGACTGCCTGTTTTGGAAATTCATCCATGTTCTAGGTATTACCAGTTCATTCCTTATTAATGAGTAGCATTCCACTTTATGAATATACCATAATTTATTTATCCACTCCTTGCTGATGGACACTGGCATTCGTGCTGATGTTTTGCTCTGATGAATAAAGTTGCAATGAACATTCTTATACAAATATTACTTTTGGGGTATAAGTTTATATTTCTTTACAGTAAATACCCAGGAGTATAATTGCTGGGTTGGAAGGTTTGTGTATATTTTTCACTTTATAAGAAACTGCCAAACACTTTTCCATGGTGGTTTTAATTTTACATTCCCACTGGCCATATATAAGAGATTCAGTTGCTCCATATCCTTACCAACACTTGGTATTGTTACTCTTTTTCATTTTAGCCATTCAGTGGGTGTGAAGTGATATATCATTATGGTTTTAGTTTGCATGTCTCTGATGGTCATAAGCATGTTTTCACTAACTTATTGGCCATTTCAGTAACATCTTTTGCCAAGTGTCTAACTTAATTTCCCACTTTTGTGTTGTTTTATTTTTTATTATTCATTTATTGGGGTTCTTTATATATTCTGGATATGAGCCCTATGGGATATACAGAGAGTTAATATTTTTTCCCAATCTGGGGCTTGCCTTTTTCATTTTCTAACAGTGTCTGTACATAAGAAAAATTTAAAAATTTTTAAATTTTGATGTTTGATGGAGTCCAGTCTATTTATATATTTTAAAGATTTTTATTTATTTGAGAGAGAGAGAATGCATGTGTGTGTGTGTGTGAGAGAGAGAGAGAGTACCGAGGGAGAGGGAGAAGCACACTCCCCTCTGAGCAGAGAGCCCAATGCGGGGCTCAATCCCAGGATCTTGAGAAAAAGATCTGAGCCAAAGGCAGACACTTATCTCACTGAGCCACCCAGGTGTCCCCAGTTTATTATTTTTACTGTACACCAAACGCCTTTTGCATTCTGCTTTCTTGGATCACAGCAATATCCTCCTAAATTTTCTTCTAAATACTTTACAGTTTTAGCTTTTACATTTAGGTCTGAAATTTAAGTAATTTTTATGTATAATATGACCTATGGGTCAAGGTATTTTTCTTCCATGTGGATATCTGGTGGATCTAGCACCATTTATTAAAAGGACTTTCTTTTCGTGGTGTCTGGGTGGCTTAGTCTGTTGTGTCCGACTCTTGGTTTTGGTTCAGGTCATGATCTCAGGGTTGTGAGATCGAGCCCCGTGTAAGATTCCACGCTCAGTGTGGAGTCTGCTTGAGATTCTCTGCCTCTCCCTCTTCCTCTGTCCCTCCCCCCACTCGTGCCCAAGCTCTAGGTCTAAAGTAAATGCATCTTTTTTTAAAAAAAGGCGTTCCTTTCCCCCATTGTCATAATTACTCATCAAAAAGCAATTGAATGCATGTTTGTGGATTTACTTTCATCATTTCATCACTATATGAGATGTCAGTTATAGGGTTTTCATAGATAACCTTTATCAGATTGAGAAATCTCCCTTCCTTTATCATGAATGGATATATTAGATTTTGTCAAATGCTTTTTCTGCATCTATTGAGATGACCATACAATTTTCTCCTTTATTATATTAATATGGTAAGTTACACTGATTTATTTTTTGAATGTTAAACCAATCTTGAGTTCATAGGATAAACAACATTTATCCATGGTGTATTATTTTTTTAATATATTGCTGGATTATGATTACTAATATATTGAAACACTGTGTAGATTGGTGTTATTTCTTTTTAAAATGTCTGATGGAATTCACAGCCAAGCTATCTAGGTCAGGAGTTTTTTTTGTTTTTGAAATGGGGAAGATTTTAGTCATAAATTCAATTTTGTAGCAAGTTTAGAGCTTAGAAACTTAGAGACTTCAGATTATTTCTTTTTTAGGTCAGTTTTGGAAATTTGTGAGTTTTTTTTTTTTTTTTCAAAAAATATACCCATTTTATCTACATTGTGGAATTTGTTGGCATACATTATTCGTAATATTTTTTTATCATTTTGATGTCTGCAGGATCTGTAATGTCTTGGTGATATCTCCTCTTGCACTTTTAGTATTTTTTTAAAGATTTTATTTATTTATTTGACAGACAGAGACACAGCGAGAGAGGGAACACAAGCAGGGGACGTGGGAGAGGGAGTAGCAGGCTTCCTGTGGAGCAGGGAGCCCGATGTGGTGCTTGATCCCAGGACCCTGGGATCATGACCTTAGCTGAAGGCAGATGCTTTATGACTGAGCCACCCAGGCGCCCCGCATTTTTAGTATTTTTTATTAGTATTTGTGTTTTCTCTGTTTTGTGTGATCACTCTTGCTAGAAATTATAAATTTCATTAACCTTTTCAAAGAACTACCTTTTGGCTTTGTTGATTTTCTCTATATTTTGTGTTCTACTTTGATTTTTACTCTTATATTTGTGATTTTCTTCCTTCTATTTCATTTGGGTTTACTTTGCTCTTCTTTTTCTAGCTTCTTAATGTAGAAGCTTAAATCACTGACTTTACACTTGCCTTGATTTTTTTAATTATAAGCATTTAAAGCTATAAACTTCCCCCTTAGCACATCTTCCACTTTATTCTTCAAATTTGATATGTTGTGTTTTCATTCAGAATATTTGCTAATATCTTTTGATTTCTTCTTTGACCCATGGGCTATTCAGAGATGTTATCTTATTTCCAAACATCTGGGGATTCTCTGGATCTATTTTTATTACTTTTTTTTTTAATTTTCTGATTTAAAAATTTTATTTTATTATGTTATGTTAGTCATCATTCATTACATCATTAGTTTTTGATGTAGTGTTCCATGATTCATTAAAGCATATAACACCCAGTGCTCCATTCAATACGTGCCCTCTTTAATACCCATCACCAGGCTAACCCATCCCCCCACCACCCTCCCCTCTAGAACCTCCAGTTTGTTTCTCAGAGTCCATAGTCTCTCATGGTTCATCTCCCCCTCCAGTTTCCCCCCCTTCATTTTTCCCTTCCTACTATCTTCTTCTTCTTCTTCTTTTTTTTTTTAAACATATAATGTATTATTTCTTTCAGAGGTACAGGTCTGTGATTCATTTATTTTAACACTGTGTGGTCAAAGAATGCATTCTGCATGATTTCCATCCTTTGAAATATATCAAGACTTGTTTTATGCTCCAGAACACAGTCTACTTGGGTCCTTTTCTAAGTACACTTGAAGGAAAGTTTCTTTTGTAGCTGTTGGGTGTAGCAGGCAAAATCTTCCAAAGCTTTCTCTTCATCTTTCCTTTTAGGCATCCATCACGGATCCCCCAAAGTCAGTGCTTCTGTTTGCACAGTACTTTCTTCTGATCCTAGTGAATTATGTACATCTCCCACTCCACATCCTGCATCTTCCTACCCATAGGATCTCTCAAGCCTCCAGCTGAAGTGCAAAGTAAACAGAAATCTCAAGCTGCTTGAGGCGGTTTAGAAGCCATGCCTTGCTTGTCAAGGAAGACAAGATAACGACCCAGGCTTCCTTTCCATATTTTTTGTTCTACTCTTTATGTGATCGTGTGGCGACTAATTTGGGATTTGGTGGGAGAGAGGGCAAATGGGGTAGATATTGTCATTGTTCGTGTGGGGTCATCTGTAAATCCCCCATGACGTCTCCCCTGTCTGACTCAGGACCCGGCTCAGGTGGGACATGTGATGATTTTTTTTCCTGCAGAGTTATGTTTTATATTTTCAATAGTTAATATATATGTACTAGAAAATGTGCTTTACAAGAAATATAATCTCCCTCTCTAACCTGTGATTTGCACAAGTGATACACTTAAGTTTGGGAAATTAGTTGACTTAAAGTAAAAGACTATGTCAATGAAAATACAGGGGTTTATCTATATGGCAAAATGTGTAAATATGGTACTTAATATGGGGTGTAGGCAAACTGGTGTGAGCACTGCTATACAGTAAACATTTGCTATTGCAACAATGTGAACCAACCTTTAGTCTTTAAATTACTTATCCTAAGTCCTTCAAGGACCCTTCCTAATGAGATTGGAGAAGCTGACACAAGGAACAGCACACAGTTACCACAGTTCACCCAGAAAAAGCATTCCAGCTACACCTTATGATATTTGGTTCACCTCGTTCCAAGAAAGATCTGCTCCTGGTCGTGGGATGGAATCTGGAGCAGCTCAGAAGGAAATGTGTTGGAAAAAGAATTAAGTCCAGCCCTTCCATTGCCCATGCATTCATCCCCACCCTGCATTACCAACATGCAGAAGGATGCTCACCTTTTCCCATTCTCGGTCCTTGTTCAGCACAATCACCACCAGTCTGGGATGCACCTGATAGCCTTCCTCAGTGAAGGACAAGTCTTTGCCATCCCATGTCACATTGACCATAAATCTAGAGAGAAGAAGAGAGAAAGACAAGTTTTTAGGGAAGAAGGAAAGAGGTCAGTTGAGTGGAAGGCACCACCGTGTAATACTCGGAACGTGGAGACTTACATGGCCATGATCATCCATGAAAAGTGGCCTCTGTCTGTGGGAGTATTAGTACCCATGTAGGCACTGCTAATTGGCCAGGCACTCGTTCCCATGAGCCTGTACTCACTCTCAGAATCCCCCATCCTATATAGATGTTAGTAATTGATTGTCATTAGCACATGGGATGGAACCTTTCTGTCCTGCCACACCCACACACCTCTGTTCATATGACATTACAGGAGGATCTTAAAGCATATTCTATTATGTTTTAACAAGCTTCCCTAAAGGAAGCTGCTGCCTCATTAACCATATGGGATGCAACTTCAAAGAAATGGTATTGTATCTATTCATTACTCATTCCACTAATACTTATTAAATGCTTGCTACATGCCAGGACTCAGCTACTTGGCTGAGGATAAATAAGGAAACAAATATGATCCCTCTCCTCATAAAGCTTATAGTCTAAAGGAGAGGATAGGCATTAATTAATTACAGATCTATGACAAGTGTTATAGTAGTGAGGTGGGTGTGCTATGTAGAAGTGAAACAGTGGTCAGGCAAGACATCTATAAGGAAGACTTCCAGGCTTCACTGGAAGGATGAGTCAGCATTAACTAGGTTAAAAAAAAAAAAGACATAAGCAAATTCTAGGCAAAAAGGGCAGCATGTGCAAAGGCTCTGTGGCAGTACACACGAACTGCAAACCAGTGAGACCAAAGCAGAGAGAGACAGAAGTATGTGGGATGTGGTGTGGTTGAGAAGGTAAATAGGGAAGATAATGCAAAGCTTCTCAGGCCATGTTAAAGGGTTCTGTCTTTCTTTTAAAACAGTAGGAACACACTGAAGGTTTATTGTTGTTGTTCAGTTAGCCACTGTATAGTACACATCAATTTTTGATGTAGCGTTCAATGATTCATTAGTTGCATATAACACCCAGTGCTCATTACAACACATTCCCTCCTTAATACCCATTACCCAGCTACCCCCACTCCACCACCCCCTCCCCTCTGAAACCCTCAGTTTGTTTCCCAGAGTCCATAGTCTCTCATGGTTCATTTCCCTCTCTGATTTCTTCCCCTTCAGTTTTCCCTCCTTCCCCTATGGTCCTCCACGCTATTCCTTATGTTCCACATATGAATAAAACCATACAATAATTGTCTTTCTCTGCTTGACTTATTTCACTTAGCATAATCCCTTCCAGTTCCATCCAGGTCAGTGCAAATGGTGAGTATTCATCCTTTCTGATGGCTGAGTAATATTCCATTATATATATGAACCACATCTTCTTTATCCATTTATCTGTTGAAGGGCATCTTGGCTCCTTCCACAGTTTGGCTGTTGTAGATATTGCTGGTATGAACATTGGGGTGAATGTGCCCCTTCTTTTCACTGCATCTGTATCTTTGGGATAAATATCTAGTAGTGCAATTGCTGAGTCATAGGGTAGCTCTATTTTTAATGTCTTGAGGAACCTCCATACTGTTTTCCAGAGTAAATGTAGCAGCTTGTATTCCCACCAACAGTGTAAGAGTGTTCCCCTTTCTCCACATCCTCACCAACATTTGTTGTTTCCTGTTTTGTTAATTTTTGCCATTCTAACTGGTGTAAGGTGGTATCTCATTGAGTTTTTGATTTGTATTTTTCTGATGGCTAGTGATATTGAACATTCTCTTACACCATACACAAAGATAAACTCAAAATGGATCAAAGACCTCAATGTGAGATAGGAATCCATCAAAATCCTAGAGGAGAACATAGGCAGTAACCTTTTCAACATCGGCCACAGCAACTTCTTTCAAGACACGTCTCCAAAGGCAAGGGAAACAAAAGCAAAAATGAACTTTTGGGACTTCATCAAGATAAAAAGCTTCTTCACAGCAAAGGAAACAGTCAACAAAACTAAGAGGCAACCCATGGAATGGGAGAAGATATTTGCAAATGACATTGCAGATAAAGGGCTGGTATCCAAGATATATAAAGAACTTCTCAAATTCAACACCCCAAAAAACAAATGATCCAGTCACAAAAAATGGGCAGAAGACATGGACACTTCTCTAGAGAAGACACACAAATGGCTAACACACACTGAAGGTTTTAATCATGGAGATGATACAGTCAGATTTTTCTTGTAGAATATGACTTGAAGGCTATGTAGAGAATGGGCTGGAGGGGACCAGAGTGGATACAGGGGGTTAGGTTACAGTGTGCTTATTCTCCATGTCAGAGATGATCTTGGCTTTGGCTCTGTTGTGGCCCCAACAGAGGAGGAGAAGGAGGAGTATGAGTCACCACAAATAGGACCAAGTGGAGAATATTTAGCAGGTATTCAGTTGATGTGAAGGTTGGGGAGAGAGAAGCAACAAGGACAACACTGGCCTCAGCATCTGCCTTATATAACATCCGTGTATTCAACCATTGTCCTAGCACTTTCATTGCACAGGACGCCTTTCTGCCTTATGATCATCTTACCTCCACCACTATTCAAAACCACCTTGCCTGTAGGCAGGCTGGATGTGGACGTGGAGGGAGGCAAGGCAGAGCTCCCCTCCCAGGATTTGGATGGGAAAATCCCCAGGAGTCCACATCCCCTTGTAACTTGAGGAAAAGGTGATACTGTTGGAGACTTCCAAGGGAACATACCACTTAACAGATACTCAATTAATGTAATACAGTAGGTTGAATATTCAGAGACCCCCAGAGAGACAGGGTATCTCAAGACCGTGGCATTTTCTTACTTTATACTCCTTTAACACCAGAAGCAGCTGAAGAAGTAAAATATTAAGGGGGAGAAACAGAGTATAAAAAATTCAAAAACAAGAGACTGTCCTAACTGGTCACATATCTGCCCCTGGGCCGCCACAGTGCAGGCTGTGTCATGTGGAAGGAGAATCAGGTCTCCCAGGACATGATAAAGTAATTGGGGAAAAGGCAAAGAACAAATATTGTGTATCCACTCAATGAACTATTTGGGTTTTTAAAAATCATGTTTTTGATGACAAGTTAATGGAGAGGAGAAAATGCTCACTCTTTCATGTTAAACAAGCAGAAGAGGATAAAAATAGGGTTTGTCTACGCATAAAAGGATTACAGGTTACCTTTTATTTTCTTTTGTGTGTCTTTGCGTTCTCCAAATTTTCTGCAAATACTGTCTGCTAAAAAACAGAATAAATAAACCACTGCAATTCCAGAAGGAGCAAAGAGTAATCACTCTTCTATTTGGTGCACGTGAGGCATCTGTGATCATTTCCTAGTGGGATATTTTGTTGATTCAACAACAATTTGCTGCATGTCTATTATGTATCAGGCCCTATGGGGAGTCCTATAGATACGGAAATAAAAACCACAGTGTCTGTCCGCCCTCCTACCCACATGTTCACCACCCAGCAACATAGGCACATAAACATGCCAGCACAGAGAACGCCGCTCATGCAGGGAGGCTCAGTAAGTGGGAGAAGTGAGAGTGCAGAGGAGGGCCCCTCACTGAACCTAAGGGATTGGGGGTGGGGCTTCCTGGAGAATTTTGAAGAGTGAAAGAGTTAAGAAGAGGTGGGAGAGGGGAGCCTCGGTGGTTCCTTCGGTTAAGCATCCGACTCTTGATCTCATCTCAGGTCTTGGTCTCAGGGTCATGAGTTCAAGCCCTGCATTGGGCTCAGTGCTGAGCATGAAGTCTATTTAAAAAAAAAAAAAAAAAAAGGAGAAGGAGAAAAGAATTCTGAGCAAAGGCATCACCTTGAGAAAAGAAGAGTCAGCAAAGGTCGGCAGCGTAACACATGCTGGGGGAAAACAGGGAATAGCTTAATAAGCTAAGGGGCAGTGGGATTTCTCTGGAGAGGATCCGTGAAGCCAGATCCTAAAGGACCTTGAATGCCACCCTAAAGTGTTTGGATTTTGTTCAGAAGGCAGGGGAGATCCATGAAAGGTTTTAAATAAAGGAGTGATGCATAGATTTGCTGGCAAGAGAAGCAGAAATAAAAATGCTTCTCTGCATTGGAGGACAACTTTATTTTTGTTTATGGCTAAAAATCTTCCATTATAATTAGGGGGGTCTAAACTAGGTTGTTTATATTTTTCCAGTTGACTTTTGGTTTTGTTCCCCATGGTTATTTTTAGCCCTATTATATTGTCTGGCACACTGTAGGGCTGGAGTTCATGTTTGGTGGTTGAGTATGTTAAAAGATCATCACCAGAAGTACCATCCATCCATGTCTACATCCATCTGTCCATCCTTCTGTCCATCCATCCATCCATCAATACATTCATCCATCTATCCATCCAATAGACATATTTGCGTACCTACTACGTGTCATGACCTGTGCTAAGAACTGTGGTAGGAAAAATGATAAAGTAAACAAACATATTTCTGCAATACATAACTGCAGTCAAGAACAGCAAGTGTAAAATTAGAGATATGTATTAAGTAGGCTGGCAAAGAGCAAGAGGAATAGAGTGGCCAATTCTATTGCAGAGGTAGAGCAGGCATCAGGAAACAAAGTGGAAGGAAGAACAAGGGCTGGAGGGGTGTATGGCCAGGAGCGAGGGGTGGCAATGCACTGCAGGGAGGAAACCACCAAGCCAATGGTATAGAACAGGATGGAAGACTGTTCATGGAATCGCCGATAAACACTGCAGACAAAGACCACCAGCGAGTGGCCTTTACCAGAGCTAGTAGGAAATCAGTTATCAAATCTCTGTATTTGCTGCCCCAAACTCAGAAGTTATTAATTTATTATTATGGTTGATGTTGTTGAATCAAATTAGCTATCAGGCCAGGTTTTGATTTGTCCAACACTTTGGGATGGACAGAGCTCAGGATGGATCCACCCAATTACCTGAAGGTGGATGAACTGAAAATTCCAGTCAATTATCAAGAGGTTCGGAAATATCCAGTTTGTTATCTTTTTGGAAAAGGCAGACCAGAGA